AGAGGACCCGGCTGCAGGACTGTGTGGTGCTGAGCCCCGCATTTGCACCCACCGCCTGCAGGGTGACAGCTCTATCCGGTACTTCGAGATCACTTCCGAGGCCCCCTTCCTGCACTATCTCTCCATGTTCAGTTCCAAGGAGTCCCAGCGGGGCATGGGCTACATGCCCAAACGTGGCCTGGAGGTGAACAAGTGTGAGATTGCCAGGTGACTGCCCCCTGACCCTGACCTGAGCATGCTCCCTGGGCAGCGCTGATCCCAGGCGGACCTTCGGTTCCAGCCCAACCATGCCACGGGCGTTGCTCACCTTCTTATTTCCACAGATTCTACAAGCTGCACGAGCGGAGGTGTGAGCCCATTGCCATGACAGTGCCTAGAAAGGTGATGCTCCCATGTCCCTTCCAGGGCCCCGGGCCAGGCACTGGCCTCACACAGTTGCAGGGTGGTGGTGTGGCCCGAGCACTCTCTTAACCAGCCTTGGCCTTGCCCACAGTCGGACCTGTTCCAGGAGGACCTTTACCCACCCACTGTAGGGCCCGATGCCGCCCTCACGGCCGAGGAGTGGCTGGGGGGCCGGGACGCCGGGCCCCTCCTCATTTCCCTCAAGGACGGCTACGTGCCTCCAAAGAGCCGCGAGCTGAGAGTCAACCGGGGCCTGGACACCGGGCGCAGGAAGACAGCACCGGAGGCCAGTGGGACCCCCAACTCGGTGAGAAGTGGATGGGAATCTGGGAGTCAGGACGGGAAGACGCGTAGGGCGGGGGCTGCTACTGATGTGGTCATTGTCCCACCGGAAGGAGCCTGGTGTTTGGGCCATCCTACACTCACGTCGGGGATCCTCTGCAGGGGGAGCAACCCTTTGGGGGCCACGAGCGAGTAATCCCGAGGCTTCAGAAAGCAGGTTTCAGGTTTCTTGGCCTGCAGCTGTCTGGGCAGCAGCTGAGAGACAGAAGGGCCAGCCCCGGAGCTCTTGGCAGGGCGGAGGGGGGAGGCCCGGGTGAGGGGAGCCCAGGATGGAGCTGGGACTAACGCAGCACTGGACCCCCCAGGACGCCGTATCCCGGCTGGAGGAGGAGATGAGGAAGCTCCAGGCCACGGTGCGGGAGCTACAGCAGCGCCTGGATAGGCTGGAGGAGACAGTCCAGGCCAAGTAGAGGACCTTCGGGCCTCGGCTGGGGTCACAGCCTCACCTCCCTCCCTCCTGCCATTCGCACCCTTCTCCTCAGGCCACGATGGCAGATAAAAAATAATAATAAAATGGCTTTATTTTCTGGTACCTCTGACTCCGATGGCCACCTGGATGCTGGGTCTGTTGAACTGACCTGCCCTCGAGCTGCCCCCTCGGTTGCCTTGATGAGATTGGCCCACAGCAGGAGTCGGGGGGACACCTCCGGGCACCCCAGGCCACAAGGACAGGCCGCAGTCGGGGGGAGCCGCCCCATGCTCGTGTTGGTTGAGCTGGCAGGGTCTGAGCTATGCAAGGCCCTTGCCTGGGGCCTCAAAAATTCCCGATGACTCAGAATTTGCCTTTCCTGGTCAACCACAGGTCGCTGCATGCGACTGTGCTGTCACTGTTGCTGGTGGGGACAGAACTCACGTAACACGAAGGTGGCCCTTATGGGACACGTTTCAAGTTGCAAGACCAAGGGAGCAAAATCAGGGGATCTTTTGTGAGGCCAAAGCTTAGAACCGAACCCTGGTTTACAGGCGAGGACATGAAGCACAGAGCATGAGAGGGGCCCGCGGGAGGCAGACCTTGAGTCATGAGCCGTCCCCCCTTCTGGTTCCCAGTCTTCCTGCCGTGTTGCTGCCTCTCAGTCCCTCACTCTGGGACCCTCCCCAGACAGAAGAGCCCAGTCAGGCCCTGTCAAGTGGGGGCTTAGATGTGGGTGTCTGATGCCCAACTCTGTGGGGCTAGGGCTGGGTTGGCGGGATGGGTGCCCTGGCCACAGCAGAGCTCACCTCATACCACACAGGGACCACAGCAAGGACTAAGTGCCTCATTCACCACCCCTGGCTTCCGCACATGGGGGAAAAACATCTGCTTAGAGAGGCAGCTGCATGGACGTCCCTGTCGGCCCATCTGAGTCTCAATCTCTACGCAAGCCATGTGACCCTGGGCCAGTCACTTCTCTCCAGGCCTCAGGTGCTCTATAAAATGGGGAGGGATAGCATCGCAGCTCTGTGAACGCAGTGGGTGGATCCAATCAGGGGTGTGATAAAGAGAGAAGCAGAAAATCTGGAATGTGGGCCTCTTAAAGCAACATTCCTTCCCTGAGCCTCTCCTGCACAGCGGTGGTGACGTGGCCTCCTAGTGAAGTCGTACTTGAGTACACTCAGTCACTGGCTCTCCTCCTGGCCCGAGGGAACCGAGGAAAGTTCAGGAAAGGATCCCAGGAACCCAGAAGGGTTAATCTGTCATCACCATGACTTCCAGCTTCACTAGCCCATTCTCCCTCTGACAGGAACAAGAGGGAGGTAGGAAGTGGGATGGTTATTTAGGGGCCAAGAAACTGGCCCTGAAAAGGGGAGCAGAGTGGGGGGATGGTTGAAGACGGCAATCCTTCACCCCCAAAGAGCCCTGGCCCCATCTGGGTCACCTGCTACCCTCCTGGGTCCCAGGGACCGCATCTGGGCCAGGCCTTATCAATCCTGGCACCTTTTAACATTGATACTACACGTATCATGTGCCCCGATTTTATGGCCCAGGTGACCTTATTTTCCTGCTTTAACCCTACCCCTATCTCCTGCCTGCAGCTCCATTCCTGAAACCCTCATGGTCTCCCCAGGGGCAACTGTGGCCACATGAAGCCCTGGGCCAACGGGCCACTGGATCTTCTCCAGTGAACCAGACAACAGCAGCATTCCAGGTGCCGCGGCGTCCCTGCCGGGGTATCACCTCCCCTGAGACCCCGAGGGGCTGGCTAACCTGCAGGGAAGTGTGGGATCCTCTATTACGCCTCTGACATTAGGGTGATGTTGAGGAGTGGGGGAAGTCTGTTAAATTGGCCAGTGCCCTGAAACCCTGGGTACTTTTCCATCTGTGCATCTTGAAAACCGGCAGAGGGCAGGACCCCCTGGTAACGACCAATGAATAGCAGCAGTGTTCCCAGGGTTCGACCAAGAATTACGGAGATCAGTGCTGCCTGCCCTGGAAGAAGCTTTAAGGATAGAACTTTCATTTTATAAGCAGAGACACGGAGGCCTGTGTGTGAAGGACTTGTCCAAGGTAAGACAATGCAGAGTGGCAGGGCAGGGAGAAACCAGGCTCTCGACTCAAGCTCAGCATCCCTCCCACACACAACACACTTGACACAGAAGCTGGCCCTGATTCATAATTTAATGGCTGTGCAGGCCTTGGTCTCTTATTTCTGCCGCTCACGGGCCCACTGCTCTGGGGTCAGGGTTTTCTGCTCAAAGGCATGAATGTGCAGAAGCTCTTCCGCTAGGCACGTGTTCACCAGCCTGGGGGAGAGATGGGGTTAGGAAATGGAAGGCCGGGGCCTGAGTTGCGGCCTCCGAAGGTAGGGTGACCCAGGAGACTCCCCAAGTTGTGTCCCGGGACTTGGGAACCAAAGAGGCAGAGGGCCTAAGTCTCAATACAGGGGCCACGAAGGCGGGATCCTTGGGGCCGTGGTTCACGGTGTAGGGCCCCACCGGCGGGGGTGAGGGAGTTAGGTTTTGGGGCGTGGCCTGGGTTGGGGTCCCAGCGCTGGGATCGCGCCGAGCGAGGTATTCCCGAGGCCTCACCGGTGTCTCTGAAGCAGTGGCTTCCCCTCGAACTTGGCCGACACCACCAGGACTCGGAAGCTGGACGCGCAACGGTTGGGAGTCGTGTCCTCGACTTCCTACGGGGCAGAACGGTGGGGAGAGTGTGAAATCCGCCCCTCAGGCGCGCTTTCCCCCTCGCTGGGAGAATCCAGGCCGCTCAACGCACCACATGCTCTGCCTCCAAGTCCCGCTGCAGCTTCTCCCGGAGGTACTCGGCGCTGAGTTCCATTGCGGCGGCCCAGAAGGGGCGGCAGCCCAGCCGGGATGGAACCCCAGCTCCGACCCCAGCCACACTGCTTCCGCCCTTACTGACGCCACTTCCGCTGAGGCCTCTACTTCCGCCCTAAGGCGTCCGTAAACCCGGCACTTCCGCCCTCACGCAAGCCCAGCTTTCCAACTGTCCTGGGTTTCCGCGCTTACCATCGGCCAGCCAATCAGAATCTGCTCAAGGACGGATTCGGGCGCTAATAGGTGTCCGCCGCCTGCATCGCAGCCTGGGTTCTGTGGGCCGGTTTGGACACCCTACTCCAGCCAGGAGAGGGTGCGCGAACCTGCATTTGCTGCGGCCTCTAGGGTACCTCGGGATCGCCCCCAAACGCTTTTTCCGAGACAAGCATCTTGCGGCCCTGGCAACTCAGCCCTCCCTGAGGTCACAGGTCGCAGCAATCAACCCACAAGTCCCGATGGGCCCTGCGGGGGACGCGGCGAGGCCCGGGCGCTTCTTCGGCGTCTACCTGCTCTACTGCCTGAACCCTCGGCACCGGGGTCGCGTCTACGTGGGGTTCACCGTCAACCCTGCTCGTCGGGTCCAGCAGCACAACGGGGGCCGCAAAAAAGGCGGGGCCTGGCGGACCAGCGGACGCGGGCCCTGGTAAGAGGGAGCGGTTTCGGCCTGGAGGAGGGCTTCAAGGAGGAGGCGGGGCTCGGAGGAGGAGAGCCCTGCCGAGAGGGGCAGGGCCAGGCCAGTGGGCGGAGCCCGTGTGGTGGTCGATAACAGGGCCGGGGGCCGGGGTCCTGGCGACGAGGGCGGGCCTATCACAGGGGAGGTGCGTGGTGGGGGGGGAGGTGCGTGGTGGTGGGGGGGCGGTGCGAGGTGGGGGGGGCGGTGCGAGGTGGGGGGGGCGGTGCGAGGTGGGGGGGCGGTGCGAGGTGGGGGGGCGGTGCGAGGTGGGGGGGCGGTGCGAGGTGGGGGGGCGGTGCGAGGTGGGGGGGCGGTGCGAGGTGGGGGGGGGAGGCGGAGCCCTGTGAAACTCAGCTGTGGGATGAAGGAAGGGGTTGGGTAGGAAGGGGACTGATGATCTAGGCTTGGGCCCGTGACAGCGGGCTGATGAACAAGGTGGAGTTTGGTAAAGAGAGAGCCTGCAAGGGGGAGGAACTGAGGAGAGCAGTTAAGTACCTGTGCTGGAGGCGGGGCCTGAGGTTGGCAGGTGCAAAGGGACGTACCTCCACGAGGGGGGCGGAGCCTCGCGGACGAGGTTTGAAGCCGGGCGTGAGAACTCCACTCCCGGGTAGGACTGGGGTCGAACCATGGCGAGCGGATTCGGTTTCACACCGGTTCGGGCGGGCTGTCACGGGCCCCGTGCTCGTTCTCGTCCCCAGGGAGATGGTGCTTATCGTGCACGGCTTCCCTTCCGCCGTGGCTGCCCTTAGGGTAAGAAAGGAGACGGGGGGGGGGGCGGTGGGAGGAGGGGCTGGGACTTGGGGCCTAACCGGGCGGCCCTGAGCCCCTACTCCCCGCCCGCAGTTCGAGTGGGCCTGGCAGCACCCGCACGCCTCGCGCCGCCTGGCGCACGTAGGCCCGCGCCTGCGCAGCGAGGCCGCCTTCGCTTTCCACCTGCGCGTGCTGGCGCACATGCTGCGCGCGCCGCCCTGGGCGCGCCTCCCGCTCACCGTGCGCTGGCTGCGCGCCGACTTCCGACGTGAGCTGTGCCCGCCGCCGCCGCCGCACATGCCGCTGGCCTTCGGGCCTCCGCCGCCCCGCGCCTCGGCCCCGAGGCGCCGAGCCGACCCCTTAGCTGACCCGGAGTCCGAGCCCGACCAAGACGCTGAGGCCTGCTGCGCCCTGTGCGCGCGCTCCTTCCAGGTGAGCCGCCCTACCTCGTCTCCAGGTCGCTGCGAGCCCAGGGTTCCAACGACTTGGGATCCAGCTGTTTATTGAAGGATCGGGCGGCCCACTGACACCCTTTGCCCTCTGGAACAGTGTCTGGTCACTAGAAGTTCTGAGTGTTAGCTACATCATTCCTCCTGGTTTTCTCTCTTACCTGCCTGCCACTTCTGACAGGATGAAGAGGGCCCCCTGTGCTGCCCCCACCCTGGCTGCCACCTAAGAGCCCACGTGATCTGCCTAGCAGAGGAGTTCCTGCAAGAGGAGCCAGGGCAGCTTCTGCCCCTAGAGGGCCAGTGCCCGGGGTGAGTCCAACACCCCCGCCCCAGCGTGGTCGAGCTCTGGGAGGATGGTGCCGGTTGTCCAAGTCCAGGCCCCAGGGCAGCTGAGTCCTTATCTTGGCACCCAGGGCCTAGCCTGCAGGAGGCTTGTGATCCTGACTCTGTCTCCTACCAACTGCACCCCTTGGTAGCTGTAAGAACTCACTGCTGTGGGGAGACCTGATCTGGCTGTGCCGGGTGGGAGCCGAGGAGGAAGAGGAAGACTTGGAATTAGAAGAGGTGAGACGTGGCTTTGGCCCCAGCCTCCCTACCCCACCCCATACCCGAGGCTGCCTTTGACCAGTCCTCTTGTCTCCACAGGAACACTGGACAGACATGCTGGAGACCTGATCCTCAGCGCCCCCAACCCTCTGCCTCCCCTGTGGGTCTGGGCACTTTTTATTTGAGTACAATAAAGAGTCTGAGTTAAGGGAACTTTCTGGTGTTTGCTGGGGCGGGGGGGGGGGGGGCAGCGCGGGAGCTAGGAGACAGAGGCCCTGCCAGTCACTGGGGCCTGAGGAGAAGAGCAGACTGGGAAGGGACCGCTCACTCACCTGGACCAGGCTCTCCTCTTCCTGGAGGCCCATGTGCCTCAGCTTTCCCCTGTATGCTTCTGACGTCACACAATTCTTTGAGTGCTTGGGAGACTCACACCCTTGACTCAGAGCCCATCCAAATCTAGTGCTCAGCTTGACTTTGGACTTTAATCCAAACAGTAAGGACAGAGGCCAAAAGTGGGATGGGTGAGGGGATATGCTACCCTATGGGGCTCTGTGGCTCTCTAAGCCCCTTCTTGTCTCTGTTTGGGAGCCCCTTTAAACCCAGTGAAAGAAAAGCACCTTGTGGGGGCCATGGTTCTGTCACCAATCATGAATGAGTCTCCATGAAATCCTCAGGAGCTGGACTCACTGCCAGGGTTATGAGACTCTGCGTTCTTGCCGTTTTGTCTCCCTGCTGCCTCAGAAAGCCTGCACCGCCTCTGCTCGGCCCCAACCCCAATCAGCCAGCCCCCCCTCCCCCGCATTGCTCTGTACTGGCCTTGTCAGAGGTCAGACTAGCAGTTCTGGAATGCCTGCGCTGCTAGAACACCAGTGGGGGCCGCTCTCAGCGTGAACCTCTGGCATCTTCAAGACTGGCCTGGAGCCGCAGGAAGGTGAGTGGCCCTGCTCACAAGAGTGCCACCTTTCCTCTCCACTCTGCCCCCTCTAAACTGGCTGGCTCCATCAGAACAAGCTGTCAGGGGCGCCTGGGGGGGCTCAGTCAGTTAAGCATCTGCCTTTGGCTCTGGTCATAATCCCGGGGTCCTGGGATGGAGCCCCGCGTCGGGCTCCCTGCTCAGCAGAGAGCCTGCTTCTCCCTCTCCCTCTGCTGCTCCCCCTGCTTGTTCTCTCTGTGTCAAGTAAATAAATAAAATTAGAAAAAAGAACAAGCTGTCAGTTGGCCTGCCGCGCAGGGGCAGAGTTGAGGGCAGGTCAGGAGCAAAGATTACAGCTCCAAAAACCACCCCCAAAATAAAAGTGAAAACTTACTGGGCTCTTTTGTCTAGTTCAGTCTTCCCTTTATTTTCTACACACCAAACTCACGTCTTGGGTTTTCAGGTCAGTCTAAGCTTGGCTCCTGCTGGGGTGCTAAGGAGGAGAGCCATAGGCGGGTCCTCCCACTCTAAACTCCACCCTTCCCTTCCTGGAGGCTGGCTCCAGATCCCTCCCACTTTGGGTTTAACAACCCTTCAGCTCCAGAGCAGTTTTGCACTCACCACACGGCACCCAGTAAGCCACAGCACGAAGTAGTCACAAGACCAAGATCCAGAGAGGTCTGGTGAGTGCCCGGGTGGGGTGGGCTGGGCTGGGCAGGGCTAGCCCCTCTCTCTCCCCTGCTGCCGCAGTGGCATCCTTGCCCTTTCCCTCTGGATGGTCCATTTCAATCAGCCAATCACAACCCCGGCTGAAACCCCCTTCCCTCTTCCATTGACCCACCGCTTTTGCTCATCCGCATACCAGACTCTGGTCCCCCAGACAAGCTCAGGTTTTTCAGCTGGCTGTGTTTATCCCTGAGCCAAGACAGTGCAGTTGGGCAAGTGGGATCACAGGCCCCACGGGCCTTTGAAATGTTGCCATGCGTGAGGGGCCCAGGTTGCTCAAAGGGATGGCAGGGAGAGCAGGGAGAGCAGGTCGGTGCAGTAGGCCGGGGGCTGCCGCAGAAGTAGTGGAAGGAGGAGCACTGGCAGGCGCCAGGGTAGTAGTGCTCACGGGGACACTGGAGTCTCCCAGAGCTTCCAAGAAAACCGGGATTGGGCCCCAGAGAGAGATTTAATTGGTTTGGGGTGTGGCCGCAGGCTCGGGGATTTTAATAAGCCCGGCAGGTAAAGCAAAGGTGCAGCCGGCGCCCTGACCCACTGCATGAGCGTTCCGTCTGGGTTTGAAGCCCAGCTCCCGCCACCCACTAGCTTTGTGAGCAGGGCCAAGTCAGCCGCAGTCCCTCATCTTAAAGCAAGATTTCAACAGATGGCATGTTGTGATGTTGTTAAGGCAAGTCGGCCGCACTCCGGCCCTTGACGCGCAGCATGGAGCTCATCCAGGACACCTCGCGCCCGCCCCTGAAGTATGTGAAGGGGATCCCTCTCGTCAAGTACTTTGCAGAGGCACTGGGGTCACTGCAGGACTTCCAAGCCCAGCCTGATGACCTGCTTATCAGTACCTACCCCAAATCTGGTAGGTGATGAGGGCCATCCACCCCTCTCCCGGGCCACAGTCCCCTATGTTGGACCAGCAAGGGGCTGCCCTCAGCCCTGCTCACCGACCCTTTCCCTGCTCTCCAGGCACCACCTGGGTGAGTGAGATCCTGGACATGATCTACCAAGGCGGTGATGTACAGAAGTGTCAAAGGGCCCCCATCTTCATCCGGGTACCCTTCCTTGAGTTCAAGGTTCCAGGGGTTCCCACAGGTGTGTAGTGGGGCTCTGGGGACCAGTGGAGCAGAGGGAGGGGGCAGGACTGGGCTCCAGCTCAGCAGACTTTCCCTACCCCATCCCATGGCATAGGCTTGGAGGTTCTGAAAGATACACCAGCTCCACGACTCATCAAGACACACCTGCCCTTGGCTCTGCTCCCCCAGACCTTGCTGGATCAGAAGGTCAAGGTGAATGGTAGAGGAAGCCAGGGAACGAGGCTGCTGGGGCCATCCCAGCTTTGGCCCTATCTGCTGGGAAGGTCTCATCTTAGGGGAGGAGGCGGTCTGCTTCATCCTGTTGTGGGGATCAGTGAAAAGGAGACTCCTCTGGGGAGAGCTGAGAAAGGCAGTCTTCTCTGCAGGCCTCCCCAGGCCCGTGGAGGAGGGGGCTGGTGAGAATCTGGCACAGCTTGTTCCCAATCTGGGTATGGCAGCACTGAGGGGGATTAGATTAGCATAAGTATGGTTCCAGGGACCACAAGCAAGTCAGCCTCTAAGCTTATTACTCCCTTGGCCAGACCAAGAGCTAACTTCCCTTGCAGGGATGCTGTGAAGGGTGGAACCACCTGGCTCACTGTGTGGTGATGATGCTTGGGTGTGTGTGGGGGTCATCTGTCCCTCCAGGTGGTCTACATGGCCCGCAACGCAAAGGATGTGGCTGTCTCCTATTACCACTTCTACCGCATGGCCAAGGTGCACCCAGACCCTGACACCTGGGACAACTTCCTGGAGAAGTTCATGGCTGGGGAAGGTGGGACCCAAATCTGGAGGAAGGAGCGGGGCGGAGCTGAGCGGCGGCAGCCAGCCCAAACTAATACCAGCCGTGTGTCCATGTCTCTGCCCCCTCCCCAGTGTCCTATGGGTCCTGGTATCAGCACGTGCGGGAGTGGTGGGAGCTGAGTCACACCCACCCCATTCTCTATCTCTTCTACGAGGACATGAAAGAGGTGAGGCCGCCTGCTGCTGCTTCCCTCCAGGTCATCCGTGGAGCAGGAACCTGCCAGGGACCTGCCAAGGCCCTCTTGGCCGCCTGCCCTCTGGCAGCCCCACACCAGTCCCCCGGGTCCCCCAGCCCGCCTTCCTGCCCGGGACTTGGAGCTGCAGCGTCACCCGGGCAGCAAGGCCATATAGCTCTGATCTCAGACCCCAGCGACACAGAGCCATCCGCCAGCATTCTCTGTTGCTCTCCCTGCCGCCACAGTTACGAAAGAGGACCGTCCCTGCGCTCACCCGTCAGGACCCAAACGAGCTTATTTCAGGGTCACAGGGCAGGGGCAACTAATGTGCCCCAGGGAAAGAGGACCCAAGTCAAGGAGGTGGGGCTGAGAGGTCTCTAGGCGGAAGTGGCCAGACCCCGAGGAGTTAGGGGGGCTCTCCCTTTTGTTTGCTCGGTGAGCAATCCCAACCTCCACTGAAGAGCCCCTCTGCTGCTCCAGAATCCCAAAAGGGAGATTCAGAAGATCCTGAAGTTTGTGGGGCATTCCCTGCCAGAGGAGACCGTGGATCTCATCGTCCAGCACACGTCTTTCAATGAGATGAAGAACAACTCTAAGACTAACTACAGCACCATACCCCTTCACGTCATGGACCACAGCATTTCAGCCTTCATGAGGAAAGGTGAGTGCCCGTGCAGGACGGGCATCTGGGGAGGCAAGCGTGGACGCGGAGGCGAGAGCTGGCCTGAGCCACCCCGGGCCTGCTCTGTGGCTGGGGCCTGCAGCCGTCCTCCCCTCTGTCCACAGGCATCTCGGGGGACTGGAAGACCACCTTCACTGTGGCCCAGAATGAGCGCTTTGACGCCGACTATGCCAAGAAGATGGAGGGCTACGGCCTCCGCTTCCTCACCCAGCTGTGAGTGGTGCTCCCTGGGAGGCACGCCGAAGACCCCACTGCGGTGACCTGCCCCCAGCCTCAAAAATAAAATTCCATGTGTATTACACCGAGAGCCTTTAATGCAGGCAAAGAGCAAACCTGAGCTAAAAGGAAATGCCCACTGGGACCAAATGAAGCCATCTCGACCCTGCGGCCTCCAATTCCCTAACTTGCCCTGTTATGGGGAAGGGGAGAAGGGTCTGGAAAAACAAAACCAAGGAGACGCGGGCAAAGGGGAACAATATTTATTTGCCACAAAACCTTTTGTTGCATTCCCTGTGAGGGTGGCAGGAGACCGTGAGTCTGCCAGCCCACTTCACTTTTTCTTGGGCTCCTTACAAGCCACCACGTACCTCTGGGCCACATTGAGGGGAGGGGAGTAACCATCTGCATAGGAGGTGTCTTCAAACAGGACTGAATAGTCATCCTGGGGCTGGGATGGGGGAAGACAGGAGGGGCTGGTCAGAGACCCCCAGGCAAGGCCCCCAGCCCAGACTGATGGGAAATCTCTGGTCCACGGGCTCCCAGCCTCTCCTGTCCCCATCTTCACTCTGAACCTAGTCCCTGCTATGGCAGAGCCCTTTTCTCAGCAACGAAGGGCCAGGGCACAAAGAGCAGGGAGGAGGGAGACTTGCTGTCTATGTGGGGGGATTCTACATGGAGGATCTGGTGCCTTTTGGGGACCCTGTGTTAAGGGGATCAAGAAAAACGCAGAGAGCAGCAGGCAGGGCTCCTGGAGGAAGAGGGGAGAACAGCCTTAAAGCTGCCATCAGGTAATGGGTCGCCAGCACGAGGGAGCACAGCCTCACACGAAGAAAGGGCAGTGGTGCGACAGTCAAGGTTGGAGGACAGGCCCTGGCTGTGGTGCTGCCCATCTCAGTGCAAAAGTGCGGTGAGACCAGAGGGGACATCGGTCCCATTCCATGTGGGGCTGGCTAGAACTCTGAAGGTTGGAGAGGGGGTTGGCTGGCACTGCCCAAGGGGACGTGGCTGGAGGGCACCTACAGGGCAGAGTGTAAGCAGGAGAGAGGGGGCAACACGTAGGACTCTCCTAGCTCAGAGAGGCTAGAAGATGAGGATAGGAGGGGAAGGTGACCCCATGACCCATCCGCTCAGCCCAGTGCTGGCGTCATGGTCTGTCTCTCCCATGGGGGCTGCCTTACCCGTTGTGGGGGTGTGTGGATCAGGGCACGGTAGAAGCACGTGGTCTGGGGATACAGGGCCAGCACGAGCTGCTCCTTCTGAAATAAGGCTTCAGGATCCGTCTCTGGGTTGGCTTTCCACTGGGGCAGTGGGATGATGCGCCGCCGGCTCAGGGTATGTCTCCTGAAAGGGGGGGCTCAGGTCAACCCATGCCAGGTAGGGGGCTCCTTTCCAGCTGCTTCCATGGTCCCTCCCTGACCAGCACACTCACTCTTTGCCTTCTTCATCAATGTCATCTACCTCATACCTGGAGAACAAAGAGAAAACGGTGGATGCAGGGAGGTGCACGGTCCAAAATCAGAGCGACGAGGAGGGGCGGGGTGAGGTGTGGGGAGGGGAAGCAGCCCAGGGAGCCTGAGTCACACACCGTCCCCGTCTCCACAGGCACCCTGGGAGGCTCTTCTCCCAGCCTGCAGACGGGGGTGAAGGGCAGCCGGCGCAGGTGTAACGGGAGAGCGGACCGAGGGCTGGGTGTCCACTCACTTGTTGGTGGCATGGCTGTAACTGACCACCTCGGCCAGGATCCACTGCTCGTCCCCATCCACAGCCTTTACCCGGGCGGCCACCTTGTCTCCAGGTTTGGCCACGTAGTCCCCAGAGGCTGGAATGGCCCCACAGAGGGGTGGGGGCCTGAGGGTTGGAATAAGGTGTTAGTCCCAGCCCTTCCCTCTTGTCAGCTCCCCCCACCCCGGGCCTGCCCTCACTTGTCACCAGGCTTCCCGATCCACAGGGGCAGGGTCATGGCGGACTGCTGCAGCAGGGTCATCAGCACCCCCCTGCGCATGGTCTTCCGAGGGGGTTCCGAGTCATTGTACAGGCCCGCAATCTTGGCCGCTGTGGGAAGGAAGCGCGCCCCTGAGGCACCAGGGACAGGGCACTGGGGCACAGTCAGTGGAGCTTGGCCTGGAGCCCACCTCCTGAGTGACCACCAAGGGCCCAGTGTGACCCCTGCCCTCCCGCCAGATGCTCGCGGTGAGAGTCCCAGGCTGCTCTCACAGAGGGCACCGAGGGCAAAAGAAGGGTTCTGAGGTGCTGGTCACATCTGTTTGTTGGGTTAGCCAAAATTTCAGAGAGCTGTCTGTAGGCTTATGGGTACTTTTCTACTAGGAGTATATGCTGTCATTCAACAAAAAAAACTAAGAACTGTCAAATGCGGACAGACTCCTGACCTCCTCAGGCATGGCTCAACACACCCAGTTAACATCACGCAAACCCAACTGGCAGTGGGACATGTCTGATGGGCAAGCTGTCTGCCCACTGAGGGCTCACTGAAGGGGTAAGAGATGGGAGAGCCACGGCAGTCTGCAGGGATTCGGAAGCCAACACCCTGTGTAAACTCCACCTGAAGGATGGCTCTCCCAAAGCAGCCGGTGCTTCCCACAGCAAGAGGTGGGGGTGGGGGGTAGCGGGAAGGAGGCAACTGCCCCAGGCACAAGGGGGAGAGAAGCATGAGGGGGCGGGGTGAAATCTTCCAGGTCTGCACAGGGACACGGGGAGCCCCTGCCTCTGAGCGCTGGCCAGGACCTGAAGTCCATGGAACGAGCACACCGGGCTGTGGCGACAGGCCCCCCACCCCTGCAGGGAGCCACGAATGCTGGTCTCAGGAAGCCTCACTCGACCTGGTCAAGAAGCACCAAGCTGGTCTCCCAACTCACCAATCCGCCTTTCTTCCAACAGGGACTTGATTTCCGCTATCTTATCTAGAGCTTTCCGGAGTATGCTGAGGGTGGGGAGAAGGGAGAAGAGGTCTGGATGAAGCACAAAGCACAGAATTCCTTTTCTGCTTACAGCAGGCTGGGTAACTCAGACCAGCCCTACTGCCGAAAACTATAAGCCCTGTTTTTTTTCTTTTTCTTTCTTTCTTTTTATCTAATCTATCTAATCTAATCCATCTATCTATCTAGAATATTTATTTATGATTTTATTTTTAAGTAATCTCTACACCCAATGTGGGACTCGAACCCACAACCCCAAGATCAAGCTTTGCATGCTCTACTGACTGAGCCCGCCAGGTGCTCCTGTGTTTACATTTTATTTTTTTAAAGATTTTATTTATTTATTGACAGAGAGACACAGCGAGAGAGGGAACACAGCAGGGGGAGTGGAAGAGGGAGAAGCAGGCTTCCTGCGGAACAGGGAGCCAGATGCGGGACTCGATCCCAGGATCCTGGGATCATGACCTGAGCTGAAGGCAGACGCTTAACCACTGAGCCGCCCAGGCGCCCCTGTTTTTACATTTTAAAAAGCATAAAAGAACTGACAAGGTAGTGAGAGGTAGCACACCCAAGAATCCAAGAGGATCCCAGAGCAGTAACCATAGCAGAGCCGGCTGCATTTGACAGAGCCTCAAGAAACCCTGCATGCTGGCCGCCTCTAACAGTCTGGAGATTTGGAGGATAGAAGTGAAAGCTCGGGGTCTGTCCAAGCTGGGACAAGTCAAAGGAGACACTCCAGAGGACTGTGGGGAGTTCTCTGGGCTCGGAGTGGGGCTGGGGGTGGAAGGGATTGGTCTCTGAAAGGCTGCAGCCCCAGGAAACCTCTGGAGTCAGTTTACAGGGTTCCAAGGTGGTTGGGGCCCAAGCAATCCAGCAGAAGGGAACACAATCCTCACTGGAGAAAGGTTTCTTTATCCTAGATCTTGAGGACTCTCCCCCAAAGAATATTTCAATAGGAATAAGCAGCCCAGACTCCATCTGGGGTCACTGATTTTCCTCCTCTCCCATGGCTCTTCCTCTAGTCAACCTTTAGTAATTCCCCCGAGGTTCTGAAGGCCTTCATTCGGCAGGAGGGAGATGACAGCCTCACAGGTGGGCCAGGGGGGCGTCCCAGGCTCCTGTGAAGCTCATCGGGCAGAGGCCGGAGGCCGGGGGGGGGGGGGTAGCCCTGGCAGAGGGAGCCAGGCAATCCGGAGCAGGATGCCTGCCGCACCACAGCTCAGCGTGGAGGGCACAGGATGCAGGGAGGGCTCAGTCAGAGGCGCCGCAGGCTCGCAAGCCTGGGGACGTGGGGTGGTCAGGCCCCAGGACAGCAGCAGAGTAAAAGCCAGGAAGCCAAACGGAACTTGGAGTCTGACCATCACTGCTGCACCTGTCTGAAGAACAGTTTTATGCAGCATGTCCTAAGCCATACTCGGTGAGATAGTAACGGAGTGGATCTTAACCCTAGCTGCACATCAGAATCCCCTGGGGAGCTGATTTTATTTTTTTTAAGTAGACTCCACACCCAGCATGGAGCCCAATGTGGGGCTTAAACTCACGACCCTGAGATGAAGATCTGAGCTGAGATCAAGAGTTGGGACACTCAGCCGCTGGAGCCACCCAGGTACCCTTCCCCCGGGGAGCTTAAAAAAAAAAAAAAAAAAATCCCAATTGTTTTAGGCAAGAATCATAAACAGATGCCAAAGCCGAGTCTGGGGACATGGGATATTTACATAATCTCAATATCTCCTATAAGAGACTTAATAATTACATAAAGGAACAACCCTGCAGAAACTGGAAAAGACCACCTTCCGACGGGACAGGTCAAGACTAGAGCGGCACCTCTGGTCAGCAAGCTGGAACACTACCAGGCAAGCGTCCCAGCTAACCACCTGCTGTCCAGGCCCCGGAACCGTGGCCTTCATTCTCTCCTCTGGGCACCTGACGTTCCAGCCCTTGAGTCGTTCGGGCCCTTGGAACCTCTGCCTGCACCAGCTGGGCCGGTCATAAAACTATCTTCCCTAGCTGGGACTCTGGGTGATGGAGTTTATCCACTATCTGTGGCCAAAGTCTCACTGAGGACACCATCCCTTCTGCTGTTGAGAAATGCCTTTTGCACTAAGGTTAGAAAATGATTTGTTCCCACCTGGGAATGGCTACCTGTTTATGGCAAGTTGGATCTTTGATCTTGTTCCCCTTTGATCCCTCCTGCCAGTGTGCCAACTCAAGGCCTTTTTAAAAAGAGAGAACAACTGTTAAATTAAAGAGCAGGGGTTCTTTTCCATTTTCTGCAAAGCAGGAGGATGAAAACCAGCTGGGGGGCAGCCCCTGGCGCACATGGAAGAGACAACAGCAATGTGTCACGGGCCTCGGGCTAGTTCCTGAGGCTGGCTCTAGGTGCCTCTTCAGTTTCCTGAGGGTTTTAGTTAATCTCCTTAGACACGCATGGGTGCAGGAGAGTGCCTCAGGAGCACACAGAGACATGTGTTCCCCGCCCTGACCAGGAGCTTCCCCATGCTCGGGGCTGGCCCTTCACACTCTCACACGCTCCCGTACCCAGCATGGCGCCTGGTGCCGACAGGGACTCAGTATCTAGTGATGAATGGATAAACTTTTCAGAGTCGAAAAATGAAATGGCAGCAGAATTGCAAAACGTCGGACCCTGCAATTCTGAAAGGAGCTTATAAATGTTTAACTCCAGATAGGTCAATGCCAGAGAAGAGCCCACACCAAACTGGTTTCAGAAGCAGTCACTTTGCCAGCAATTAAGCTGGGAAGGACCATTTTGCCTTTTACTCTCAAATGTGTTTGTCACTCAAGCTTATGCAAGCCATACTCCAGCGCAGATGAGCATGAAAGGGCCCAACAATTGCCAGATGACAAATGTGCACCTCAGGGGAAGAGGGGGCAGGAAGGGTGGGCCAGGAAGCCGGTAGACAACACCAGCAATCAGAAGGCATGGTGTCTCCTCCCGCCTAAGCCGGCCCCAGCCCACCATGGGAAGCCCCGTCAGGTCCCTCCATCTAAGCTGCAAAGCGTGGAATCTTCAGCTTCCCCCCTCCCAAATGGCCCCCAATTTTCTTTCAGAACCTGCCCTTGAACCCACCCTTGCTTCTCCATCCCCACTGCCACTGTCTTGGCTCAATTCCATCACTACCTGCCTGGTCTCCTAAATGGCCTTGAATCTTACCCCGTCTGCCCTACCCCAGCAGCCAGGGGTTTTTCTACTGCTTTACATCTTCGCTGGCTCCCTATGGCCTCCAGGATAAAGTCCAGTTACTGGAAGCCCTCCAAGTCCTGCCTTGCCCTTCCCCAGCCACAAAGGACCGGTTCTCATTCCCCCAGTGTGCATGTCCACCATACACTCCTCCACGGCCTCTGCCACGTCCGCCTACTGACCCCTACTTCAAGTCTCTCCTCCTCCCTGTGGCTGTCCCAGGCCCCCAGGCACAGTGAGCCCACCTCTGCTGGCCCACCAACTATACTGTCCTGGTCACTGTTTTCTTAGGGTGCCTCTCCTTTCCAGACTGTTTGCCCTCGTAGGCTGGGTCCTCGCTATCCTCGTGTCTCTGTATGGGGACTGCCCAGCACCAGGCACGGGGTAAGTGCCAGCAAAGATTTGCAGAACAAAGACAATGGCAGGCAAAGAAAATCTGGGACCGTGAGTACAAGGCAGGGTCTTTGAGCACAAGACAGGGTCTGTGAAGGGCCAGATGGGAGGAGAGGAAGATCCTGGAGCCACTGGTAACGCTTAGGGTGCTGACCATCACACGTGCAAGGCAGTATTTAAATAGCAGGCCGAGACTCATTAGTGGCTTGTGAGATTAACTTCTGGGGTAACAACCAGCATTTAATAAAACAGAACACAGGATGCCCGGCTGGCTCAGTGGTAAGAGCATGCAACTCTTGATCTCCAGTTGGGAGTTCGAGCCCCACGTCGGGTGTATAGATCACTTAAAAACAAACAAACATGGGCGCCTGGGTGGCTCAGTCGTTAAGCATCTGCCTTTGGCTCAGGTCATGATCCCAGGGTCCTGGGATCGAGCCCCGCGTCGGGCTCCCTGCTCAGCGGGAAGCCTGCTTCTCCCTCTCCCACTCCCCCTGCTTGTGTTCCCTCTCTGGCTGTCTTTCTCTCTGTCAAATAAATAAAAAAAGTTTAAAAACAAACAAACAAACAAACAAATCCCAGACTATATATACGGTAACAGTACAAACCGTACTTCTTGTTCCAGTTCTGTGATATATGTGTGTGCCGTGGAAAGGTGATCATTACACCATTCTATTATGGCGTTAAAGAATATGGACTTTGGATCTACAACGGGGCTCCCCGACTTACTAGTTTTGTGACTTTTAGCAGATTATGGAACCCCTTGTATCTTAGTGTCCTCACCTGTAAAATGGGGGTAACGTCCACCTTGCGGTCGCTCTGAGCATTACATGAGATAAGTACGTAACGTACTTGGAATAGCACCCGGCTCAGTAGGGCCGCAGAGGAGTCCTTAGTGGTAGTAGTACAGAGATGACGAAGAGGTCTTAATATCATGATGAAGCCACATCAGAGAATGTATTTCCTACTATGGGTTATAGTCAAAAGAGTGTGAAAATCACTGGTCTTAGGCACTTTATATACATTATCTCATGTTATGTTGACAGTTCTGTAGACAGTTATGATCCCTGTTGTAATGATGGGGTAAGTGGGTCTCAGCGGGAGCGACTGCTCCAGGTCACCTGATAGTAAAAGGCTGTGCCGGGGTCCGGCCCCCACCTTGCTGCCATCTAGGAAACAGCAGGGCTAGTGGGAAGGGGAGGCCCAAAAGTGGGTTCTAGGGAAAGCGGGGGCCCCAAGGGACAGCCTGGGGAGCGGGAATCTGCTTATTGGTGGCAGGAAAGGCGGTGGGGGCTGGGGTCTGCAGGCTCCGGCAGCCCAGCACACGGGTGGGTGACAAAGGAGAAGGGACGGGACTCACTTGCACTCAGCCTCCGCATCAGCCTTGGCGGTCGTATAGAGCCCGCGCAGCTTTGTCCGGTAATAGGGAGAGACTGCAAAGTGAGCAGAGGAAGAGGGTGGGCAGGGGGGTGGCTGGCAGTCTTGTGGGGCTGCTTCTGTGCACCCGAACCCTAGAGGCGTGCAGAGGCCACGGACTGAGATGTGAGCTCTGCTGGCTCGAAGTGCCCCGAGGCCGATGCCCCGGGTTTAACGAGTTCACGTTTTCATATGGTTCACATGCCATCACGCATTTGGCAGAGGACTTTCTAGCCTTTGCCATAGCATGACACACGCAGAAACTATTTCTTAGCACACAGGAAAACAGACAACAGTTCTCAAAGCTGCTCAGAGTTGGAAAGCACCAACCCAGGAGGCTGAGCAGGAGGGCTTTGGGGCATGTGCAGGGGATGCTGGGAGGGAAGCTCTCTCTCTAGAAAACACTAGGTAACTGGGGTGCTTGTGCACTCAACAGGGCTCCCCTGGATGCAGCCTTAACACTGACTTCCCAGTCTCTAGAGCTGGGGGATTTTAAGGTTCCTTAGTGCTAGGTGGTCTGTCATCTGTTTCCCGGGTCACCTTAGGTCACTCAGCCGAAGGGAAAACTGACTAAGGAGCAGTTCGTTTTGGATTATGTAGACACATGCAAAAGTCCTGTCTGAAGCTAGTGATAGCCACGCTCCCGGTCTCAGCCCACCCCCCTTTCTCCTCCCCTTCCTCTTCTGAGCCCAGTGACTTACTCTTGTTCTCTGTCTGCATCCGCTCATGGGTCTTCTGGATGTTCACTAAGTTGTGTTCACTCCGCGAACGCTCTTCCTGTAGGGATAAGGTCAACAGGGCATGAGGGCGGCCCTTTATCCTGCCGTGGCCCCCGGCATCCCAGGCCAGAGGCGCTAGGAATACGTATATGCCAGTATCTTCTGACCCTTACTTTTCAGGTCACGTCCCACTACGAAGGACATCGTTTGGGAAGGCATTTCCAGGACTGCTCCCTTCTGGGCCACAGGACTGCATGGCGTATGGCTCCGAGAGACGGGTCTTTGTGTAACCTGGGTGGGGGCGCCCGGGTGGCTCAGTCGGTCAAGCGTCCGACTCTTGATCTCAGCTCAGGTCTTGATCTCAGGGTCGTGAGTTCAAGCCCCACACTGGGCTCCACTTGTAATTTATATTAATGCACTATGACTGCCCTGACCCAAGAACAGATCAAAATAAGACATCCTGAGCTACAGCTGGCAGAGACAGGACTGTTATTTTGGGTACCATTTGGGGCTCCCCCTAGGTAGGAGGTGGGCCCTGCTATAGAACACACAATGAAAAGCAGTCTCAGCACAAGCCTGTGAGCTGGGACAGGGCGACTGGCTTTGTCCCCGGCTGACTCAGAACCCAGAAATAACTGAATCGTGGCCAAGTGGAATAAAGCAAATATCATGAAGTAAAAACACTGTAAAGTAAAAATGTCATCCATACAATATCTGGTAAGTGGGCACGCCAATTCTGTTGGGAGGGCATAACAAATAGCTCTGTAATTCTCACTAACTTGTTCTGTAATGAAACTGAACTCCACCATGACCGTAGTTGAACATGGTGTAACACACCAGCAACGCTAGTAAGATTCAGCTGCCCCCCGTCAAGAAGTCATCCGCTGATACTGGTATTGATGAGCAAACGTGGGGGGAACTGGGGCCAGATTCTCCTCAGACGGCAACGCCGACAGGAAACGACTGGCCCAAGGAAGAGTTTGATTTAGCTCACCATCAGCTAATTTCTATGCTGAACAGTTTTACACAAATTTATTATAAGGCATGAACAGTACTGCATGAAGGGCGGAAGCGGGTAATCAGACTAGTATAAATTAGGAAAGCGTAGGTCCCGGCTCTGCGGGACCGACTGAGTGCTCCTTGCGGTCTCTCCCTGGCCTGGCGGCTGCTGTAGTCTCACCCACACTCGTACTCACGCCGCTGCAGTCTCGGGCAGGCGGCTGCTGTCCCGACTGGCTACCGAGGCCCCGCTACCATTTTGCTGCAAGGGAGTGGAGGCCAAGGGCCGGGCTGGGGGCGGCTGTGCAGTAAAAGATGAACTCAGCAGGCCTGTGTTTTCAGACCCTGCGCCTTCCAAACGAGGCCCCTGACCAGCTCCCGGGAGAGAACCTCTTGGCTTATCCGGCCTGCGAAGGTTATCTTCGTTCAGCTGGGATAAGGGGGTGGAGGGAAAAGGGGAGGGACCATGACGGGTATAGGGCATTTTTGTCAGATGATGAAAATGTTCTGAAACTGATTGTGGGGATCGTGGCACGACTCTGTGAATATACTAAAAACCACTGGAATCACATACTTCAAATGGGTGAGCTGTACGGTATGTGAATCCTAGCTCATTGTAGCCGTCATGGAACAGAGAGGATTACGACGTCCTGCCTGCCAAGAGAAAATCCGGCTGTCACGCCCCACATTCTCCTCGGCTGCCGGTTCATTGGTCACCTGGGTCCCCGCATGTCCAAAGTCTGTGAACGCCCCGCGGCTCGTGTGCCGCCCTCCAGGAGCCAAGGGCTGCAGCTTCTTACCTGGGTTTGTTTAATCAGCTGATGGAGCTCCGTGAGAAGTTCCGCGATGCGGGAATCAGCAGACACCAGGGCCATCGTGTCCGGAGTGCCTGGCGTGGAGGCGGACAGAAGGGAACCCTGTTAGGGGCTGCTGTGTGTTGAAGCTCAGGGTGTCCAGTGATGACCTCATACCAGAACACAGTAAAACTTTAGGAATTTCACATAATTTCTACAACAGTTATAACAGCATTTATCCAAGCAACAGAACCCAAGGTTTATCAAGTTTTTGACCGTGCTTCCCAAGTAACTTAACATACCACATAAACCAGCCTAATTAATCAAAAGGACTTTTTTTTAGAATTTGAATCTTGGGAAGTTTCAAAGTACAGGCCTCAACAGGATCATAGATCACTATGAAACTCGGGATTTAATTAACCAAGCTAGCAATAAGAGTCTATAGATGGTTACACCGTTGTTAGCAAAACTTAGCTCCTTTAATATTGAGAACTGTTTTGTTTTGGTTTTTTTTCTGGAGAATTTTTAACTTTCTTAAGTACAAAGACCTGATAAAGACAAAAACACAGAAGCTTTGGTTTTTTGGGCACATAAAGAATAACAAACCTTTGTTTACAATTTCTTATCATGAGCAGACCAACAATCTAAGAAAGTGGTCTTTTTTTTTTTTTTAAGATTTTTTATTTATTTGAGAGCGAGAGCACAAGCAGGGGGAGCAGAAGAGGGAGAAGCAGGCTCTCCGCTGAGCAGGGAGCCCAATGCGGGGCTCGATCCTAGGACCCTGGGATTGTGACCTGAGCTAAAGGCAGATACTTAATCGACTGAGCCACCCAGGCACCCCGAAAATGGTCTTAACGGAGAGAAAAGCAGAATATCAATCTTATGCCAGTGTACTTTTAAAATCCATTTATTTTGGGGCACTTGGGTGGCCCAGTCAGTTAAGTGTCTGACTTTGGCTCAGGTCATGATCTCAGGGTCCTGGGATTGAGCCCCACGGGGAGTCTGTTTCTCCCTCTCCCTCAAATTAATAAAATCTTTTTTAAAAATTCATTTATTTCAATCTTAGTCCTGACCACATACAAAGTTCTTTTCAAAGATTTGCCTTCACACACCTTCTACAACTTTTTTCTTTTTTTCCTACAACTTTTTCATTCAGATTTCGTCCTAAGCCTTTTCTCTCTAAATAACCAATCTTGGGACACCTGGGTGGCTCAGTCAGCTAAGTGTCTGCCCTTCGGCTCAGGTCATGACCCCAGGGTCCTGCGATCAAGCCCCACACTGGGCTCCCTGGTCAGTGGGGAGCCTGCTTCTCCCTCTGCCCCTCCCCCTGCTCGTGCTCGCTCTCTCTCAAATGAATAAATAAAATCTTTAAAAATAAATAACCAACCTCATTTTGGGACAAAATAACTTTCTTTTCCCCCTCAACAAAATGTATTCTCGGGTGCCTGGGTAGCTCAGTTGGTTAAGCGAATGCCTTTGGCTCAGGTCATGATCCTGGAGTCCCGGGGTTGAGTCCCACATCGGGCTCCCTGCTCAGCGGGGGGTCTGCTTCTCCCTCTGACCCTCTTCCCTCTCATGCTGTCTCTCATTCTCTCTCTCAAATAAATAAATAAAATCTTTAAAAAGAAAAAAATGTATTATCATTTCTTATACCTTCCTTACACATTTCCTACTTTCCTAAATACAGAGTCGAGTCTGTTGGTAAACATGCCTTATGCTTTACTGAAAGACTGTGCTATGGGGAAACATATATTTTTAGAAATTATGAACTGTACTCATAAATTGCCAAGCTAAAGAATTCTGGTGTAGGGATGCCTGGGTGGCTCAGTCGGTTAAGTGTCCACCTTCAGCTCAGGTCAAGATCCCAGGGTCCTGGAATCGAGTCCCACATCAGCCTCCTGGGATTGAGTCCCACATCAGCCTCCTTGCTCAGTGGGGAGCCTGCTTCTCCCTCAGCCTGCCGCTCCCCCTACTTGTACTCTCGCTCTCTCTGACAAATAAAATCTTAAAAAAAAGAAATTCTGGTGTAGCAGACAGTTCACAATTGGTTACTACTTAATTTTCAGACTAAGGTTTCTAGGTTAAAATTCTGTTAAATGTAATTAAGCCTGATGGAAATAAGGAAAGCAACTCTTGTCAGTTTCTCTGCAATAAGAAGCCAGAAGCACAAACCCGTGTTGAGTAAACAATGCTTTAATATTTTGTTTTGTTAGGGACAAGATTTGGATTGCCAATGAATTCAATCCAATTTATTGTTTAACTTAGCAACACTTTAAAGGTTCAGGTTACTAAAGATTTTGAAAGCCATTTAAAAGTTTTACCTATAAACTTTTTTTTTTAAGTAGGCTCCACGTCCAGTGTGGAGCCCAGTGTGAGGCTGGAACTCACGACTGTGAGATCAAGACCTGGGCTGAGATCAACAGTTGGACACTGAACTGACTGAGCCCCCCAGGCGCCCCTACCTAGAAACCTTTTTATTCAACCTACTCGTTCTTAACAATTACCCAGGAAAGCTTTATGAGATGGGTAAAATTAACCATCATTTTAAATCATCTTTTGCTGACAAACTGCAGCAAAGATAACACGAGCTTATCTGACCTTTAGTAAACCTCAGTAAAGTTTTACATTTAATGCTGATAACTCTAAAGACACGTCATTTTAATGAAACTAACAAACCTAAATTAGCTTTACTACAGAATATACTGCACCTGTGAGAACTAACAGTCAATTTGTTCCCCGCTGTCAATTTTACTCGGGGCACCTATGGGGAAATCTGAAGGGAGTGGGTTAAGCCCAAGGGAACTCTTGGACCTCTTCATGCTGATTCAGGAGGTGCTTCAGTTGGAACCTCATAAGGAGGTGGCGAAACAGCGAGGGCAGGAGGCACGGAGGTCTCACCAGAGCTGGTTATGTAAGCCTTGCCTAGGGTGGTGCGGAAACACGAGGAGAGGGAAGGGGTGCTGCCAACAAGGCTGGAGCTGGATAAAAGCCCAAACAGAAAAAAGAGGACTCCGGGTCCTAGAGCTCATCAGCTGAGACAGAAGAACAAACGCACATTTTCTTTCCACCCACAAAAAGTGAAAACAGTCCATGTCAGGCCAGAGAATTCAGGGAACCTCTTCGAAACAAAAGGAGTTTCAGCAGCTGCTTGGAATATTCCTTAAAGTCACCGCCCCAAGGTAGACTAACCACAGACAACTGGCAGTTATCATAGCTATCCAGTTATCATAGCTATCAACCTGGGAACGAATGAGGGAGAAGCCCCCAAGTACAAGAGTCAGGCAACATTCATCCAGTCTTCTCAAGACACATTTCAGATCTGATGCACAAAATAAGAAGCAAACAAAGAGGGGCACCTGGGTGGCTCAGTCGTTAAGTGTCTGCCTTGGGCTCAGGTCATGATCCTGGGGTCCTGGATCGAGCCCCGCATCGGGCTCCCTGCTCTGTGGGAAGCCTGCTTCTCCCTCTCCCACTCCCCCTGCTTGTGTTCCCTCTCTCGCTGTCTCTCTGTCAAATAAATAAATAAAATCTTTAAAAAAAAAAAAAGCAGCAGCAAACGAAGAGGCAGTAAGTAACTTGGGAAAAAGAGGGAGGTGTGGACAGGATCTTGGCAGCAATCTGTCGACAGGAAAGCAGGCGCGGCACACATGGAACAGGACCTCTTGGGGAGGCGCCGGATGGGACCACTCCCTTGGGACTGGATCTTGGATAATGAGGAATTTGATAAATAAAACAGGATCATAGGGGAACGGGGAGGGGAGGGGGAAAATGAAACAAGAAGAAACCAGAGAGGGAAACAAACCATAAGCGACTCTTAATCTCAGGAAACAAACTGAGGGTTGCTGGAGTGGAGCGGGGTGGGAGGGATGGGGTGGCTGGGTGATGGACACTGGGGAGGGTATGTGCTACGGTGAGCGCTGTGAATTGCATTAAGACTGATGAATCACAGAACTGTACCCCTGAAACAAATAACACATTATATGTTAATAAAAAAATAAAAATTAAAAAAATAAAAATTAAAAAAAAGGACTGGATCATGGATAAAGCTCATGAGAAAGTTGCCCGGATTCAATAGGATTTCCATACTTTTGTTTCTTCATGTCTCTCATTCGTCCTTACCCATGGCTGTTTGGCATTTTCGGTCCTGCTCTCAGATTAAGTGGTCCCTGTCAGGTGAGTGCCCCAACCGCGTAAGAGCTCCCACCGGTCCCTTGCAGGAAGCACACGGTCAGATGTATCTTGGATTTTATGCTCATGGAGGGATCACACCAGGTTATTTGGGAGGATACCTTACACGGGAGTTAAGATCGGTGGCTGTCCTGATGACACGCATGGCCATCCTGCGCCTGAGAAGAACACGAGTATTGAAAGAACGGGTAAAACAGGGAGAGCCTGAGCCCAACACCATTATGGCCAACATACTAGTGGCCAGCCGGGTGGCAAGAGTTTGTCCCTCCCTGGAATGTAGCCACAGGAAAGAGGTTCTTCCCCTGAGCACTCAGACAAGGCACATTCCAAAGGGTCATACTATTTAGGAGATCTCCGAAAAAGAACAGAGTAAGAAACAAAGACTGGGGGTAAAGAAGACTTACCCAGCCGCACTGAATCTCCTGAATTCTTTTTGGCCCTGTCCCTGTACAGGTCACCAAAACTTATGTGGGGGCTGGTGAGTGCCAAGGGTCAGGAAAGAATTCTTGAGCCACTGACAGTGCAGCTTAGTAAGTTTATTTAAGTAGCACGGGGACAGGACCCATGGGCAGAAAGAACTGCGCTTTGGCTATGTGAGGCTGGTGGTCATATACTCAGCAAAAGGAAGGAGGCATGCAGGGAATATAAGATTACAAAAGTTTCTTCAAATTTCTTTGAATGTCTAAAACTACTTTTGCAAGATTCCCCTGGTGTTTAACATTCAGTTCAATATTAACTACTGGTGAGATGTGCAGGCAGTCATGAGACCCTTAAAGAATGTAGCAACTAGCACGTATTTGATCCCTATCAAAACTATGCAGGCTTTAGGTCAGCCTTTCCAGCTAAGGGTAAACATTTTCCTACTTCTATCCCTCATCATTTTCTTTATTTTTTAGGATTTTATTTA